CACCTTGCAGCCCTCTTATTAATGTAAAATAGAAAAATTATTGGAAAGGTATCTCATTAGTAAGGGCTGGATGGATATTAAATGTAATGAACATCATGACATTGCTTTTGAATTGTGGTTCAACAGAAACATTTAAAAAATCAAACACAAGCATGATGGGACCTGTAGACTAATATTTAGTTGAACAACCCTCTGAGCCAATCACTGCCATCAGGTGTTTCCTGTAACTCAGTCAGACTTCTGCACCTGTTGACAGGTATTCTGACCACTGCTCATCAGCAAAGTGCTCTCATTAGTCCAGGACAGTTTTGTTTTTTTAAATTATTATTTTCAACCACAGTGCAAAAGCAATGTCTTATTTTACTAAACTATAATTTACCAAATCTTTATTTATTATTACTTTTTTCAGTTTCTAGTTATTTGAGTGACTGTTGTGAATTTTGCCTTTTTTCTTTAATGGACGGGGACGAATACATCTGAGGACTCCTGTACATGCACGCAGCTAAATACATGCAGCTAAAAACGGCCACTGAAATAATGTTGAAACATCGGTTATATATAACCTAGATAACTAAAAGACTTTCAGTTTTCAACCGCATTCAGTTCCGTAACATTTTAACCTTAGAGGTCTAGACGTGGTTCCACCTGCACAGCAGCACGTTGTGGGGAACTGAACGCTGCGTTCTCACAGCAGGTGGTGAGACGACTGATTGTTGCACCAAAGTGTGTTTTTTTTCCGATGGCGTGTGTTTGCTATGAGCCGACAAAACCAATAACGTGAGCTGTTGTTTAAAAAAAAAATCCCCTCCTATTATGATTTCAGTCAGCATGCATTTGATCGCGATTGTTTGCATTTCAGCTATCATTTCAATTCAATTTCATACCGTTGGAGCCAGTTAAAGTGAAACTTGAAAAGCTTGTGCATCTGATTGCGTGCGTGCATTCAGAGGCCGAGAGGTAAAAAGTTGACAAAGTTCCCACGAGAACTTTCCTATCGGGTGTCTTTATTCAGGAAGCTGTGGCTTTGACTTGCGTCTACTCACATCTCCTCATCAGCACAATGCATATCTCTCTATATATACCCCGTGTGTGTGTGTGTGTGTGTGTGTGTGTGTGTGTGTGTGTGTGTGTGCATTTATGTCTACGCTTGACAGCCAGATGTCACCCCACGTGTCAGGTGGCCCAGAAGGAAACCCCAAAGGAAGCAGGGGTCAGGCCCAGAGAGGTCAGGAAGAAGTCAAACCGCCTGCTTTCATCAACAAATTTCAACTCTCACTACGCCCCATCAACTGTCTGTCAACCACAGTCTGCGCTCAGAGCTTCCAGTTTTGTTTTAGGACAGGCTCAAGTCGTGCCACTGCAACGATTATGCAAAACGGCAAACTTGTGAAGTGAAAAGTTGAAAAAAAATGGACTTTGGATCAAGTTATCTACCCTGAACCAGGCTCAGCTACATCCAAACACTACATAAAACACACAGCAAGACATTTTGAAATATACAGAAACATTTAATTAAAGGTAGATTCATGAAAACAATTGATTAGAATTCACAGAAGGAGGTAGAGCAGATGGCTGTTGTGTAAAGGCCGGTGGGTTTCGCAGACGGTTCTTCCGCTTTTCAGGTCAAATATCTGTGTATGGTCTGGTCCAAAGAGAGCTGCAGGGTCGGTTCCTCCACTCCACTACAACACACACACACACATACATACAGCATTAAGCATCAGTGAATAACGACACTATAAAAACAGCTACCGTACCCCAAAACAGTTTCAATATTATTAACTTGTGGTGGTGCATGCTGGCCTGTTTTAGTACTTTGAAACTACACGCTGCAAGTTAGTGCAAAAACTTTTATGTTCAGGATTCATCTGCGTGTGAGGTTTGACAGTTGAAGCACTAAAAAAAAACTTCGGATTTCACAAACAGGAATGGAAACCAAGAAAGAAGTCAAGAATAAGACGAGAGTGAATCTGACGCCTTTTCTTTGTTCAACGGGTTGTGATTTGTGTGATTTCACTTTCAAACATTGCGTGCGGATGCAACCTTGAAAAGGTGTGACAACAACAGTTTGTTCTTGGGAAAAACAACAAAAAAACACACAAAAACCAACACTTTGCAACCACACCAGCAGCTGCACGAGGCAGGTGTTTGGGCGTTAGCTGCTAATATCCGCACGCCGACATTTTCCATCAGTGATAACGGGCTCGTGTAATGATCATCGCGTTCACCCCCTTAGTTTAGCATATTAGCATGCTAATAGTTGCTAATTAGTTGAGTCTGACGAAACTGGATTTTTGGGGCCGGTATGTTTTTACGGTGTAAGAAATTCTAACATCGATATGTCAGGTGATAAACTTAAGGGGTTGTTGTTTATTAACTTCCCAGCAATCTATTTAACAAACTAGTTTGAAACTTGCCATGAAGATAAAGCTCGACTCCGCACCACCCACTGTGATGCTCTGCTACATGCGCTGCAGTGCTGGGAGGATTGTGATCAATGAGCCACTCTGCTAGACAAACTGTGCAATGACAGCATTTCTAAATGATCCCAGACTTCTTTTTCTGCATTATGTTCTGCAAAAGATACCAGTGCTTCTGTGACAGGCTAATATCAGGCCAACAGATTATCAGTCAGGCTGTAGTAATTGGCTAACTAGCTTCGATAGGCAGGGATGGAGTTAGTTTTGCAGGTAGTCTGGTTGTAAATTAAAGGAGTTTTTGGCTTGATAGTGGCACCAGATTAAAAAACAAACACCAAAGTCATTATTTATCTTTCGGTAAACTCCAACTTCATGACAATCCGTCCATAAATTTAACACAAAATCAACAGCGTAGCTGCAGGAGAAGGACAGTCAGGGGGTTACCAGAGAATCAACATCCAGTTTCGGTTAATTGTGAATGTCTTTTGATATTGTGTTTTTAATCTCCACAACAAAAATCCCCAAATTTACCACCTGCAGAGACAAAACGACAAAAAAACTAACTCTGTGGACTCTAGCTCTGTGGATGAGAGCAATTTAAAACGCAACGAGCCGCTTGTCGCCATCATTAAACCAGCATGAGACTGGAAATCGTGTCAGTAAACAATGAAGTTATTCTCATACTTCTTCTAAAAATTCCCAACTGCAGCTCTACTAAATTTGATGCCACAAAAACAAAAGGCGTCCTCTACATATACACGCTCAGCAACCTTCTAAAAATGGCGGTTTTATTAACAAATACGCCTGCCTGGTCTCAGCACATGGGTGGAGGTGAAAGGTTAATCCAGCTGTTGACATACAGTCTGAACATCGGATCAGCCGGTCGTGTGGTTAAAAATCTGTGATGGATTTGCTAAATCGAGGTAGTTTCAAATCTCTGCAATGAGACTCTCTTAGAAAAGCTGAAGACACACACCTGAGGACGTAGGTGACGCTGAGGATGCAGAGCGGCTGGTGGGTGATGGGCCTGGACCTGGACGATTTGACGCTGGGGATGACGGCGCTGTGGCTCTCCACCCAGACGTAGCCTCCACCTCTCACCAGCATCCTGTACTGGCCGCTGACCGACTGGCTCTTCAGACACACTGCAGGGAGGCGTGAAGTCATTACAGCTGTGTGTTGTGTGTGTGTGTGTGTGTGTTTTGAGGTGTTCACGTGAGCATCTTACGGTTTAGATGATTTTTGCTCAGACAGTTGTAGTCCAGCGTGTGGCAGAAATCGTAGAGGGAGCGACCCACCAGCTCCTCAGGAGTGTAACCCAACAGAGAGATCACTCTGCACAAACACAGACACACGAAGCAAAGTGGATTCATTATGAGCATCAACCAAACTCATTCTGATAAATTAGTTCTGAAGACGTGAGAAGTGCTGAAGCAGCAGCCGGGTTCAGAGTTCACTGAGGTCACGCAGCCATAAGTAAGACAAAAAGGGGAAGATAAAAAGCAGCAATCACGGTTCTGAGAGATTTTTGTTTCATTTTTGTCACGCAAAATTAACCCCTTCAAATCCTGTTATTCACTTTTGTTTCCCTTTATTGGAAATTCTAGATGTCCCGTTATTGGAAACACTTCCCTTAAAATTAAGTCTGACATATTTGGAATCTTTATAAAGTCTGGAGTTTCCACGAGAATAATAATAAAGCTCTTTTTTAAAGTTTTTTAAAATTTTTTTATCAGAGTGTCATCAGAACATCATCAGAACGTCATCTGAACGTCATCAGAACGCCATCAGAACGCCATCAGAACGTCATCAGAACGTCAGGTACGTCATCAGAATGCCATCAGAACGTCATCAGAACGTCATCAGAACATCATCAGAACATCAGAACATCAGAACGCCATCAGAACGTCATCAGAACACCATCAGAACGTCATCTGAACATCATCAGAACGTCATCAGATCATCAGAATGTCATCAGAACGCCATCAGAACATCATCAGAACGCCATCAGAACATCAGGTACGTCATCAGAACATCAGAACGCCATCAGAATGTCATCAGGACATCAGAACGTCATCAGAATGTCATCAGAACATCAGAACGTCATCAGAACATCAGTTTTAATAATGTTGGGCTGCACTATATGAACTGTGCAGCAGAGATTTTGTGTTATGAACATATCGTATTGCATATAAACCATTAGTCAGCCACTGTATCATGCTGAGTCATTATAAACTAAATTAACTGTTAATAAATTGAATATTAGACATTTTTTTTCCAAAGGCATGTGTATCATTGGACGCTAACAATCACCTACAAAAGCCCGTTATTGTTGGATTGATCTTTTTTTTAAACTCAGAACCATCAGTGTCTCACAGGTCATGTATGAAACGGGGCCATAGTAAGTTTAATCATTTTCCTTCCTTTTTTTCTTTTATAATTTCCTAACGTACAGCATTGCATAATAAAATCACAATTCCTTTTTTTCTTCTTTCTTTTCTTAACGGACACGGACAACAAGGTCCCGTTTTTCTGACTCATTCTTGAAACATATTCTCACAGTAACCCCAGAGTTCATCCTGGGTCGTTTGAAACAACGTGCTGCTTGCTCGCGTGGACACACACACCTCTGGTCGCAGTACGTGAACTTCATGTCCATGCTGTGCTGGCTGGTGAAGGTGTGCGTGCTGAGGAGCGTGTGTGAAAGCGGCAGAGGTCGGCAGGTCAGCAGCAGGCAGGAGATGGAGGACGGGCTCATGCACACCTTCACTCTGCCCTGACAGTGCAGAACCTGAAATCACAGAGAGTCAAAACGACACCAACATCAACAGAGACTCTTGAAGTGGAGCAGGTGTGAGGTGGTTTTGTGTCTCACCAACCTTCCATGTCGCCGACTTGAGGTTGGCGCTTCTTCCTCTGTGCGTCAAAGCGCTTTTTATCCTGATGACAAAGTCCCTCTTCTCACCGCACCAGACTTGCTCTGAAAAACAAGCGATTTACGGCGTCTGTGAAAAACGTTCGGTTGTCTCCCCGTTTTGTGCTCTTCAACTTTAAAACATGCTCAATTTAATTTGGCTTTTTGACAAGAATTTAAAAAAAACACTCTTTCATGTCAAAGTGAAAACAGATTTCTACAAAGTAATGTTGAATATTTAAAATATGAAATTTAACACAAGTGATGGTGGAAGTATTCACCCCCTTCAACTCAGTATTTAGTAGACGCATGAGATACAGCATTGAGCTGTTGCGCATCTTTCCAGCATTTCTCTACACTTTGCTGCATTCATTTTACCCTCTACCTCTAGAAGCCTTTCAGGGCTGCTGCTTCCCCACATCATGATGCTGCCACCACCATGCTTTACAGTGTTGGGTTTGTGATAGCGTGCAGTGCTTGGTGTCCACATTCGTCTTGTCTAACGGCCAAAAAGCTAAACGTTGATGTGATCACACCAAAGAAGCTCTTCTAGTTGGCTTCGGAGATTGTTTCAACAGCGGCTTTCTCTTCACCACTGTTCCATTAAGCTTTGACTGGTGAAGAACACGCAAGCTTACAACTCCTTCAGAGGAGTCATAGGAGTCTCGGTGGCCTCCTTCACTAGTCTCCTTCTTGTACCTCCTTCAGAGGAGTCATAGGAGTCTCGGTGGCCTCCTTCACTAGTCTCCTTCTTTTAACTCCTTCAGAGGAGTCATAGGTGGCTCGGTGGCCTCCCTCACTAGTCTCCTTCTTGCACGGTGACTCACTTTTAAGCCTGATCTAGACAGATTTATGTATTTCTTGTGTTTCTTGATGAAGTGTTTAACTGGACTCCAGGGACGTTGGAAATGTTCATGTACCCATCCCCTGACTTGTGCTTGTCGGTCGTCTTTTTACTTAGTTGTCTTCATGGTGTCATTAAACCAAGAAGTACTGATTCACCAGCGACTGGACCTTCCAGATACAGTCGTCTTTATACTGCAATGACTTGAGACACATTCACTGCTCTCACATCATCTTTATGTTACTAATCATGCGACTTTGGGCACCGATTGGCTGAACCTGTGTTCAACCAGGTGAGTGGCTTCAAAGCAGGAGAATAATTATGCAGGAACTTATTTTACATGTCAGATTTTTATTTAATTGAAATTACTTTTCTGTTTTCATTTTGACACAAAACTGTCTTTGTTGTAAATTCTTATCAAAAAATTAAATTGACCACGATTCAATGTTGAATAGCAATAAAAGGGGAAGACTTACGAAGGGGGTGAATACTTTTTATAGGCTTTGTGTTCTGCTACATGGATAAACAGGTAAACAAAGACTCCTCATGGGCCTTCATGTCAACACACCTGCCGTCAGACGTAGATTATGTCGGATTTCTTCGTGGTCACAGGGGTGAGTGTACTCAAAAATATTGTGTCCCATCAACTCGGTCTGTCGGAAAACAGAAAGCAGACCTTTAAAAATCTCGACTCCACAATGTAAACATCCTCCACCTGCGTTTGTTCACCTGCGTCAGGCCCATGTACTTGGTGACGTTGTCCGACAGGAAGATCATGTCTCCCTCTGTGGACAGCACCATCAGAAAGCCCTCCAGGGTCCTCAGGTACATGCTCATCTCCTCCGACGCCTCCGACTCCTCCGCCTCCTTCTCGTCTCGTCCTCCGTTGCAGTGGTTGCGTTCCACTCCGCCCACCACCACCGGGTGAAGTCGTACTTTGTGTCTGGTCTCCGCATTTTCTGAAACACAACAAGTGACTATTTTATTTTCGGAATTCCCGGTTGTTCTCGTGGGAAACGTTTCTATTCCACTGGGTTTGGTAATAAATGGGAACTATGAGTAAAGGAGAACAGCGGATGTGGTGGCTTTCTAGTCTGTAAGATCACATGTACCTGTCTGTATACGTCTCACATGTCGGCGTTTCCTCCGTCTGACGCCTGTCTGAAACCCACTAGTCAGCTGATCTCATTTCCCACCGTTAAACATGTTTGAGTTCCGAAGCAGAAACCGCAATTAACAAAAAAAGCACATTTTTCTAGAGCTCTTTGATGCTCAGAATTTACCCAGAAACTGTCGTTGCACACGTAATTGCCCTTTAAAACATACTGTATTCTGTGTTTATGCGCAACTCTTGGACAAAAAAGGCCAAAATTTACTGTATTATAATGTTGGACTCTTTTTTTGTTTTTTAAAGTAGCTTCAGAAATCATTTTTGACACCTTCAACCTGCAAACCTCCCATAACTCACTGATTAGATATTGATTGAGGAGATTCCCAGAGTCACAGTGAACTAACTTAAGTAGCTTCATCGATTTAAAACGACTTGTTTTTGATATTATAACCTGTAAATCCTGACATTCTGAATAAAAATACAGCACAGGAAATAATATTTACTCCTCATGTTACAGATATGTGCCTTTAACTATGAAACAAAGCGTTTTCCGCTGCCGAAACTTTGTCTTTATTCAAAACTTCTTCTCCAGAAATAACCCAACATGATATTTATATCACATACACACTAATATTAATAAATGCCTTCTGAATAAATGTGTAACGACAGGTTTTGCCATGTTATGTATGACTTTGAAGCATTTATTTTTTAAATGTGGAGACTTTTCTCATATTGATTCAGCTTGTATTATAATTTTTTTTTTTTAAAGTAGCTCTAGAAATAATTTTTTTTACACCTTCAACCTGCAAACCCAGCTCGTCTTTACAACACATGCATTAGATATTGATTAAAGAGATTCACAGAGTCAAAGTGAAGGCATGTTTCTTTATTCCTATTAACTTACGCAGCTTCATCTCTTTAAAATGACTTATTTTTGATTTTATAACCTGCAAATACTGACATTCTGACTAAAAATACAGCACAGGAAATACAGTTACAGATATATTGAATTTCCCTTCTGGGATAAATAAAGTATTTTTCATTTCATGTGCCTTTAACGGTGAATCAAAGCGTTCTCCGCTGCCTAAACTTTGTCTTTATTCAAAACTTCTTCTCCAGAAATGACCCAACATGATATTTATATCACATACACACTAATATCAATACATGCCTTCTGCATAAATGTGTAAATTTAGGTTTTGCAGCATTATGTATGACTTTTAAGCATTTTTTTTAAAATGTGGAGGTTTTTCTTAGCTTGTTCCATGTACACACATGTCACATACCGGGGCTACTAGATGTCAAACTCTTCCTAACGTGAGCTGTTACCTTTGAGCAGCGTGTGCATGCGTATGTAGCTGAGCGTGAGGCGGATGACGGAGGGTTTGTCCAGGTGGGTTCTGATGGAGGGCTGGAGCGGCAGGAGGCGAGACAGGTCTCCGAACACGTCAGACTCCACTCGGCGCCTCTTCCTGGCCGCCTCACGGCTGGTCGCTCTGCGGGGTTAAGGAGGCGGGAAAACATGAAGAACAGAACAAGAACTCACTGAGCTCTATTAATAGCATTCATTTAAAATTACACCACGTGCAATAATGTCACAATAAAGTCATAAACAATGTGTTATTTATCTACAGCAATAATAAATAAAGGGTTCATTTGTAAAAACAGATAACTTCATTTTTGTAGATTTTCAGAAAACTTGTTTTTTTTGTCGTTTGCTTGAGATAAAATCAATCAAAGTGAAGCTGAATGGATTTGACTCAGTAGAAACGACAAAAATAGAGATAACTGCAGTTTGATTGATGGAAAAGTGGGTTTGTGAAGATGGAGTTTGAAAATGAACTCTTCAAATGAATATTCTATTATATAGTGGATGCATAAAGAAAGATAGTTAAAGTAAAAAAAAAACTTGAGAACTGTTATATATTAAAGACAAACTACATACTAGGATTGATTTAATAATATGTAGAACTGCATGTAAGTACCTATATTTTAATTGAGTATTTCCACTTTTTCAGAGCTTAATTTCATAAAACAATGCTGCACATTTTGCTTAATGCTGCTCAAAGTGTGCAGATTCAGATTCACGAGCTGAAGAAACACCACGAGCGCCTGGTGGGAAAGAAAGAAAGAAAAAAAAAACCTTAAAAGAATTTCTCAACTTTGCAGGAACTCTGCAAACCTGTCATGTTCCTGCTCGCTGACTTTTCTGACATTATCTGAAAGCTCTGTGGAGAATTTCTCAACATGGAAGGAAGCGTGTGACACTTCTTCAATCCTCCACTTATTGTCACGCTCACTCTGGAGAACTTTTACTGCTTCAGCTGTTTTCATTTGATGCAGGATTTTAATTGCAGGCCTTTAAATTGGATTTTTACAGCAGGATGTTAGACTTTTGTTTTTAAGAGTTTAAGTGCTTCTTCAACCACTGATGAACTGATGGGGAAGGACAGCAGGGCACTGCGGTCGACAGTGAAGTCACCCAGACGCCGAGTGTGGCCGCAGCACCGTCCCAGGCATCAACACACAACCTCAACTCCTGACCAAACAGACGCAAGTCAATTTAAGCACATTTTCACAAAGGATCAAAATGCCCGTGACACAAAGCAGCTGTACCTTCTCTTCTCCTTGTCGGCTGTCATCGCGTCCCGCAGACAACTCTATCGGGCCTCATCCTGGCTCAGAGGGGACGGCTGCAGGACTTCACAGCGCTGCGGGGAGTCTCGCCGCCGCAATTTGCACCGTCGCAGGTAGTCCACTTCACCAGACAGGCAATTAGCGGCGCCAAATGTCACCAGGCAAGTGGTCCCCGGCGGCACAGATGACTTGAACTGACTCCAGCGAGTGTCTCCTCTCCCCTCTTCATGCAAATCACCTACAGGCCTCCACAATTGAGCTCTGTGATAGGTTAAGATGGGGGAAGAAAAAAAAAAACAGAAAAGAAAAAAACCTCACCCTCCACTCTCCTCCCTCCAGCTCCACTCCACCCCTCTCTGCTGCTGCTGCTGCTTCTTCTTCAAACTTTTTCTGAGCATCCCACATGCCTGCCTCTGAAAAGCAGCAGAATCAATAAAAACAAAACAAAACAAAATAGATGGAAAGAAAAGAGAGAGAGGAGTCTGGGATTGATGTAGACAGCTCAGTGTTTTATTGGAATCAGACCAGACAGGACTAGCCCGGCTGTTGCACTACATTTTGGCACAGAGTAAGATAGTGTGACCAGGAACAGCCCTACCCCTGGGTGCACAAAGCTTCACTACACACACCGACTCTACTGCACAGAGAGCAAACCAGCTCGCCTTCCAATCGCTGTACAGTACACGCAACCACAGTCCTTCTGTGTGTGTGTGTGTGTGTGTGTGTGCATGTGTGTGTGTGTGTTCTGTTTGTTGTTTGTAAGAAAGACAGCGAGAAAGAAAGAGGAGTAGGAGGAGGCGAAGGACAGAGTCTGTATGTGGTGTTCAGTGTGTGTGTGTGTGTTTGAAATGAGAGGTAATTCAGCTGCTGGTTCTCCACATTTCTTATCACCCGGCTGTAACAGACCTAGAATAGTATAGCTATAGTATTATACACAAAAGGTTTCCTCCAGATACACTTTACAATAATAATAATAATAATAATAATTATAATAATAATAAAAAAGAGCAAGAGCAATAATAAAGAAAAGCCATTCTTGAAAAAAAAAAAAAGTCTGAAAAGCAAGTGGTTTTGGCTGAGTGAGACGGCTGCTGGAGGAGCAGGAGGAATGGAAATCGGTGAGATTTGAGAACACTGATGGTAGCTACAGAAACAAAGAGTCGCACAGGACAGGGATGGAGGGGGCAAAAAAAAAAATCACACATTCACACGCACAAAAAATGTACATTCACGATTTAAAAAAAAAAAAAAAAACACGAACCGGCACATTCGCAACTCCGACAGATGGATGGAAAATCGGGCTTTTTTTTTGTTTTTTTTCTCCGCTGCTGCTGCTGCTACACAGGTCGCCTGTAACACTCTGCTCCACATAATTAGTTCAATAGCCTGTAAAAGCTCGACATTCACTTTTTGAACACACACGGGGAGGAGGAGGACAGAAGGAGTGTAGTGAGTGTGGTGAGCAATATCGAAAAGAAAGAAAACATTCTGAGGAAAAAACAAAAAAAATAACACATGAACAAACAAACCATAAAATATATAGATAGTCAGGGTATTGCACAAAGGGAATTTTTGGCCCTAACTGGTCCACGATAAGGACAGTAATAACACAGGTAGGGTTGCTTGTCCATGCGCCACGACGCTCCTTTACTAGCAGACGATACCAACACGATACAGCCACTCAACACAGGCTATATACAGGCCTCTGCGCCCGGCGCCCACAGTCCACATGTAGAAAGGCGCCGGGGCAGAGAAGCAAGTGTCAGTGTGTGTTTTTTTTTTTATGTGTTTTGGTCGTCTGAGCATGTGCAGTGAGCTTGTGTTTGTGTGCGTCAGAGCGTGTGTAGTGTGTGTGTGTGTGTGTGTGTGTGTGTGTGAGAGCATGTGCAGGTGTGCATATTCATATTCATATCCATAGTCATGTTCATATTCATATTCATAATAAAACCCAGGCAACAAGAACAACACAATGCAAGTAAATAATATTCCAAAAAGTAACAACAACCAATAGCTTCAAAGTAAAGGAGTGACTCTGTGTTGGTGTGTTGGTGTGTGTGTGTGTGTGTGTTGTAAAGGGATTTATGGATCTACGCAGTGTCAGCATGTGTGCGTACGTGCATGCCGGGTGTAGTGTTGTCGGATCAGTGTCTGTGTGTGTGTGTGTCAATGTGTGTGCGTCTTAGGTGTGCGTCTCCTCGGGGGCGCAGTAGGAGAAGTCCTTGAACTCCTCCTGGTTGATCTGTCGGATGATGGCCTCGTCCGTGGGCGTCAGCACGGGGTCCTCCTTGGTGAAGTCCTGGTCGAAGTTATTCACGTCCCGCTTGGTTTTCTGCGGACAGAAAAGGGGAACTGATGTCAGAGGAAGGAACTGCACGGCGACTTTGTAGCGCTTTGAAAATGAAATTACAGCGACATCTTCTGCCCAATTAGACACACTGCCTGTTTGTTAAGATAACACACACGACTGGAGCTCTGGTTTCCATCAGATCACAACAGAACTCATAAAAAGATTCATCATCATTTCCTGTAATCTTTGTTTTTCTTTTGAACTACTGGACAAGTTTAACTTGCTTCTTACTTTTTAAATTTTTGCTCTATGTTATGTTTATGCGTCTATTTGTGTCTGTAATTTACATTTGTTCATACTGGCGACTCTCGGCCGGTTCATGTTTGCAAATGAGAACTGATTCTCAAACATTTAAAAAATGAAAGAAATCAAAATTGCTTCAACTGAAATTTTGCTCCATCTGATACCTCAGAAATGTCTATGCAGTTTGACACACTAATAATGAAATAAATCATAAAAAAAACAAAGGCAGAAGTTGAGTTTCTTTAAATATTTTTACTTAAGTTTCCTCAAACTGCCAAAACCCAGAAGAAAAAAGAATTATTATAGAATTATAACTGTGTTCTCCTGCACAAAAGTCAAGCTTTCTGTCCCTCTAGCTGTGGTCAAATCGTTTCCATAACGGTGCAGGACTTTGTTCTGCAGTGAAAAATGCCCAGAAAATCAGTGGATTAAAGCTCTTTGTGATGCTTTACGTTGAGGAATGAAACACATTTTACTTTAAAACACTCAGTTTTAACGTCACCTTTATATCAAACAGCTGCACAAGAGGGTTGGTAACATCAACATCTGTGCAGTGTTGGTTAAATTAGGAGTTTTAGCAATTTAAAAATTTTTTTTTAGGAAGAAATAGCATTACAGTCTTCCTCTAACTAACCGGCAAAAGAGCTGTCGGTCAATTCAGCACACTCACTTTGTCGCTACAGCTTTACCTGTTCTGGTTCCATCGATTGCTTATATTCTTTAGATAAATATTGATGTACATTGGGGGATTTCAGTTTGCTGATTTTACCTACTCATATGTCCTCAGATGTATTCGTCCCCTTCCATTAAAGAAAAGGCAAAATTCACAACAATCACTCAAATAACTAGAAACCGAAAAAAGTAATAATAAATAAAAATTTACTAAATTATAATTTAGTGAAATGAGACGTTGCTTTTGACTTGTGGTTGAAAAGAATATTTAAAAAAATAAAACAAAAAAAAACTGTCCTGGACTAATGAGAGCACTTTGCTGATGAGCAGTGGGTCAAACCAAAAAACCAAAAACACTCAGTCCGACATGTAGGACGCATCGAAGCACGTGGAAACCTAATGAAGTGTCTCATCAGATCATCACGGTGAACTTTTTGGTGTAAAACGTTTGAGTGTTTCGGGGGCATCTGTGTGCGTTTCTTACAATCCGAGGTTTGAAGGGCGGCTTGACTTTCCTCTGCTCCAGCAGGATCCAGTCGATCTCTCTGAAGAAGGGGTGGGTCTTGATGGCCTCCTCGCAGCCCTGGCTCACCACGCAGCCCAGACGCTTGGCCGGATTCTTCGTCATGAACTGCGGCACAAATATTCGATTTGAAATTACATTCGTCTGAAACCCTCAAGACGCTCAGCTGCGGTCGCGTCCATAAAACGGCGAGGACAGAAACAGAAGCAGGGGCCGGGCAGGAACCATTGCAGTGCTAATAATAGAGCTGTGGCATTAATGGCTCTGTGGACGGTACAAACAAAGAGGCAGAGTGATGAGAGCTGGTGCTGCTGGCTGAGTGTCAAGATGTGTGTTGAGTATTGTAGCAGCTCTGTGGTTTTATGGTCACACTGGTATTACTTTAACCCTCTTGGCTGACTTTTGCGTTCTCAGCGTCACGGCGAAGCGCATCGTAGCACTTCTACATGACAACAATGACGACAAGAGCTTAAATATCTGGAATGAATCCTTGTTGTGCATTTTTTCAAAACTCAACATTTGGTGGTCACAGGCGTCTATTTTGAAATGAAGCGATTGAGGTTCAAACTTGGACACATTTGCCCAAAAGTGAGCTTTTTAGTGTTTCAAACAAATAATTGTTCTTAATGATGTAATTGTCTTTTACAGTTCATTTTAATGCCTCTATTAGTTTCAGATTAGCGCCTTTTACTGCCACCTTTTTGCTACAAATGCAACAAATTGCCTCCTTTAAGGTATTTTGCAATCTTTGCTCAGCGCAAAACTAAAATGCACCAACAGTGGCTCTGTGGTGATTGGCTTTGCAGGCAAAGACAGAATATCAAAGATGGTATTTAAGTGCAGCTGACACTGAAGCGTCTTACACCTGCATTCTCTTTAATGGCCAGCAGGGGGCGACTCCTCTGTTAGAACAAAGAACTTAGATTGCATTCTACTTCTCACCTGATTTGTTACCTCAGTAAACATTTGTCTAATGAGATTATGGCCCCAAATGCTAGTTTTAAGACTTTTTGGACACAGTGGGATGATGAGTTTGTAAATTATGGTCCAATTTGGAGTAAAATAGACGAAAGAGCAGGGTATGCTGTTTGTAATCGACATGTCGCCGTGCGTAGCGCCCCTGGCTTCTCCAGTCAGATTCACCGCTCGCTCATTATTTCCGGCTTTAAAACACCAAGACAACGACGGACAAATGCCAAACTTGAGAATGCCTTCAGAGCAGGAGTCCACAAACCAACGTCAGAGTCGCTACGTAAACCTAAACCAGTACATCCATGGCGTTAATGTCAATAGATGCTCACTGAAACGCACCCAATGCATTAGAAGTTAAACCCTTCAGGCTGCCATTGAACTATAGCAGAAGAAGGAAGTGCTGATAGTGAAGAGCGACATGGAAATAAAAAAAAACATGACTTTTGTGTTGGTTTCTTTCAGCTGTTTTTACACAGCGTAATGGAACGAATGTGGTCATCTCAAATAATTACAATCAAGTGGTTATGTAATAACTGTCACAGGGCTTAGTGCGTCTGGAGCCACGACTCTTCAAATCCCATGAATGAAAGAATACTCCATCCACAGCGCCAGAAAAAATAGAAATTATTTTTTTTTTTCCATGTGTGACTTTCTGTTCTAATAAAAACAACAACAGTGGAATGAAATATCTGCTTGTTAAACTGCACAGCTTCAATCAAACTATGACTTTGATTTAATTATGACATTTTTTGTGTTATGCAACAAGAGCAAGAGTCATTTCTGGCTTCTAGGATAAAAAAAAAAAGAAGTAGAGTAACAGAGAAAATCTGTTTATCATGCAACAGATGGAATAATTTTACATCCATAAGATCCAGACAGAAGAGTCTCAGGATTCTATAAATACTTTCAAAGCGGCAGTTATGGGTTTTTCTGTAGAATCTGAAAAGAAAAATCAGCTTCAAGGAGTTTAAAAACAGCCACTTTTCAACCAAATTCAGGCCAAAATTTACCCCCAAATCATCACACGCTAACTGAATGTATTAAAAAAAAACTGAAACCCAAATGAGTCGATTTTTTTTTTACAGTAGATTCTCTGATTGGGACTTGGGCTTCGAGCAGCAGGAGGAATCAGTGCAAGAGAACTGAACAGCTCTTCTAATCAAATGAAGAGTCTGTTTGAAGAGGTGAGGAGAGGAAACGTACCGCCCGGAGGATCGACACCGCCTCTTTGCTGAGCCACACGGGATAGAGGACGTCGTCGTGGAGGATCGACTCGAACAGGTCGTCCTCGTTGTCGGCTTCGAACGGCGGCTGCCCGGCCATCATCTCGTACATCAGCACCCCCAGAGCCCACCAGTCCACGGAGGCGCCGTACTCCAGCTCCTGCAGGATCTGAATTCACAGTTCGACACGGAGGTAAACTTCAACCTCTGCAGCACATTAGGAGACACTCAGGATACAGGAGACACCTCGTCTCTTGCATTTCCACATTTTTAGGAGGCGCAGAGAAAAGCAAAACGCTACATAACAACTCCCAGAAAAGCCTTTTTAAATGTCATCAGTGGCAGAGGTGGAAGAAGAACTGAAAATAATTACTGAAAGATCCCCTCCAGACATGTTTTAAGAGACAAAAAACGCTCTGCCTTGAATAATAATTTGCTTGATGTTTTTTTTTTTTTTACTATAAAGAAGCTCAATTATCCAGTTGAAAATGCTTAAGAGTACATCTACTTCTTTCCAAATGAAAAATTAGGGATCCATGAATATGCAGAGAAAACCCCTTTAGACAGAACTCTTCTCTGCTCGACTGAAATGTGCACGAATAAGCTGAACATTGGTCCTAAAACGAGTATGATCCTCCTCGTTTGTACATCTGATATTTAGGCTGAGAAGCTTCCCTCAGCAAATGAATCTTATAACAGATTTCTACCAATAACTCTGCGAATACACGTACATCATTTTGCACTGTGGATGTCATTAAAAACATTAAAAATGCACTTTTAGTGACAGGTATGCATTTCTGACCGGAGGAGGACGTAACAATGCATCAGTGGAGGTAAAATATTTTTTAAATTACATATGAAAATAAGCAAATATAAGAATCAGTCAGATATAATCAGGTATGAAATATTAAAGTACTCAGAGAAGAAAAGTTTAGGGGAAAAAAAAGAAAAGAAAGAAAAACGAAATGATGAGAGAAAAGTCGTCGACCAAATCCTCTAAAACTCTTCAGACTGTATTGTTTGGAAGTGATTCTGTGTCTGTCTTGAGGATTAATTTTTTGAAAAACTAAATTTGCAAACTACCTACAACCATCAAATGAATGTATATTTACAAGTTCCTGTAAAAAGAAGAACAACAACATGTGTCTGCTGTTGTGGAAGGTCTTTGATGCCTCTGGAGGGTATTTGTCACACCTGAGAGGTTTCTGTTCTCTCAGGCTGGGCTACAAGTCTTTATTGACAGGCTTGATATCTTTAAAAAACAGAAAAAAATCATTCTAATAGTTTTTGAATCACCTGTGACGTCGGGAAACTTGATCAAATGTCAGCCTGAAATCACTTTATTGTCTCATGATAAATACGCCCGAAACAAACTCTTGGCTTTTTTTTGGCTCAGTTATCAGCGACTGAGACTTTTGGGTTGAACTGCAGGCTGAGAGGAGACAGGCGTAGACAGAAACTACAAACACAAGCAGTAAAATGTCTGTATGTAGATGTAGAGGGCAGTCTTGTCTAATATCGGTAAAACTTGTAGGAATTTGGAAAAACTCTGGGGTTTTTTTTTCAGTTTTTGTAAAATAAGTACTTAAGGAAAGTCAACTTTGACGTAATGATTTATGGATTTATAACTTTGCTAAGCTGCACTACAGACAGTTTTGAGTTCTCTCTACTTTTATCTTTGGTTGTGCTGTTTGGAATTAATACTGCAGTGAAAAATGAGCCTACAACGAGTAAAAACCTAACAGGAGAAAACGTAGAAACTGATGTGGATCAGAGGGTTAACGGAGTGATATTGGAGCCTCCATCGAGGTTTGACCAGTCTTAGAGGTCTTCTAGCTAAAGCATCATTACCTCAGCACTGAATTTATAGAATCTTCTGGACTCTAAAGACAATGTCGCCTCCTTGAGCTCACCTCGGGAGCGATGTAGTCGGGTGTGCCACAGAAGGTGGTGGTGGTCACGCCGTTCATGATGCCTTCTTTGCACATGCCGAAGTCTGCCAGCTTACAGTGTCCCTCTGCGTCCAGAAGGATGTTGTCCAGCTTCAGATCCCTGTGACAGAACATCACAGACAGACAAGGAGAATTAGCACCATCTGCCTTCCATAACAGTCTGGCTCACTGGGAGAAGTGAGCGTGCAATGAAAATAAAAAAAAACCTGTGAGAACCACCACGTAATGCAAGTAAAGCCATCTGGTGCATTCCTGGTAGAAGAAACATGTATGAGTTCCCCTAATACTCGCTCAAGCTTCAACCAAATGATTAAAATCTCTGGTTTGTTTGTTTTTATCCATTTTCCTAGATACTTCAGTGTGTCCTTGGCTGGAAAACATAATCACAAAGAGGGGAAAATCGTTGGGTTCACCTGTAGATGACTCCGTTACGATGCAGGAACATGAGGGCTGAGGTGACTTCGGCTGCGTAAAAACGAGAGCGAGGCTCGTCGAACTTCCTAGATCGTTGAATCTGGAACATCAGATCTCCTCCGTTCACATATTCCATTACAAAGAACAAACGGTCCTGCAGACACCAAGAGACAGAAAGAGAGAGGTTAAGAGACAGATGAAACAGAGACGGAGCGGTGAGTCTTGTTGGTGTCGGGGTCCTACCCGTGTCTGGAAGCAGCAGTAGAGCTGGGTGAGGTAGGGGTGTCGGCGGGCCAGGGCCAGGATCCGCTTCTCGGTCATTGTGCAGTCGACGTCGTCGTCCTGTAGGATCACGTCCTTCTTCAAGACTTTGACGGCGTAAACGTCCTCTGTCCCCTTCAGCTCCGCCAACATCACCTTTAGTAGAGACGTACAGTATGAAAGCATGAGTCCACTGTGGTTGTTCCAATATGTCAGGAATACAGTTTGCATGGTCTGCATTTTTTGACTACGACATCAGAATTCTGTGGTTGAAGAGGAGCTTTTTGTAACATGAGATTTTCATAATTTCACATTTTATATCACATCCATCAGTTGAATCATTCATCCATCCATCCATCCATCCATCCATCCATCATCTCTACACCTTAATCCTCACTAGGGTCATGGGGGGCTGGAGTCTATCCCAGCTGACTCAGGGTGAAGGCAGGTTCACCTGGACAGGTAACCAGTCTATCACAGGGCTACACTTAGAGACAGACAACCAAGCACACTCACATTCACACCTACGGACAATTTAGAATCACCAATTAACCTCAACATGTTTCTGGACTGTGGGAGGAAGCCGGAGAACCCGGAGAAAACCCACGCTGCACGGGGAGAACATCGCAGAAAGATCCTGGGTGTCCTCACCGGGACGCGAACCAGCGACCTTCTAGCTGCGAGGCAACGGTGCTAACCACCGAGCCACCTTGCAGCTCTCAATTTCTGTAAAACCAAATCTTGCAAAACCCACCTCTATCTGGCTACTGACCCCTGACTATGATTTTAAAATCAGATTTTACAGTCAAAAAAACGATTCTTATATTCTACTTTTTGTTTACTCTGATGACCTGAAGCATCGCGACCCCCCCTCCCCCCACTTGATGTGTTGTTGCTGAACCTGCTCCAGACCTCTGAAGGTGCCCTGGGGTAATCTGGCACCGCGACGTTATCGGCAGATCCCTTAAGTCCTGTAAGCTGGCAGGACTTGTGCCACCATGAGCACGTTCCAAGACACCGGGTCATGGTTCGTCACTGTCGGTCGATACTCGCCGCTTCTAACTGGCTGCGCCCCATAATCCTTGCTGTTTTGGAGACGCTCCAAACCGGCCGTCTCGCCGTAACAATTACAGCCTTATCAAAGCTGCTCAGCTCGTTACAACATCTGACTCTCCCACATCCAACATGTCAACCACGAAACAGTCCGATACGTGCCAGCTACTACAAGATTTTCAACATTCGTCATCAGTCGTCTGTGATGAGTGCATACTGAAAGACATAACAGCAGGTTTGAAACTAACCCTCTTTAAAGCCAAAGATGTTTTGAGTCATATGAGGTTAGTTAAAAAACTTGTAAACATTCATATCAGCTTATAAAGTTGACTGTTGACACATCCAGGAGTTATGAAACAACATTAGCGTTACTTTGTGATCCATGTTGGCAAATATAAGACCAACACTCGTCCTCCTTTAGCTCCAAGTTTGGTCTCCACCAGCTCATAATGAAAATAAAAGGCTCTCTGGGCCGCTAAATGCTCCACTATGTTCACCAGCTATTTGGTGTTGGGCAGATAACCTACAGTCAGCTTATAAAAGTTTTATTGCTGCCTGCTGTTGGAAATTGTGCTGATGAGAGTAGCGAGACTGGAACAAAACAGTAAATCTGCAGGCCATTAAATGAACACAATGAGCTGTAACACAGCTAAAAGCTCAGCGTAGCCGAGGGGGGAAGAGCAGAGTCAGGTGGGTTAGTCATTACAAGTGACCCGCTGGAAGCCTTTACGTCGTATGTAGTGGAGGATTAAAATGAAATATGTACAAACAGCTTGCTGAATATGATGTAATTTACATGTGAATTGGTCTATTCTGGTGCGCTGATATTGTCTCCCTTCTGCTGTGGTGAACAATGGGAACCCTGGTGAACAGGGTGTTAATCAAAAACCAGTTTAATTATAAACACAATGAGCAGTAAACAAATAAACATCCCCCTCAAAACGCCTCCTCCGCGCCGCCGCACCTTGCCGAAGCTGCCTTTGCCGAGAACCTTGATAAAGTTGAAGTCCTTGAGGGTCCTCCTCTGGCTCTGTCCGTTCTCCCTGCCCGCCGAGGAGGAGGACGAGGAGGAAGAGGAGGTGGTGGAGGAGGAGGACGAGGCGGAGGAGGAGGAGTGCTGAGGTCCCTGCTGGTCGAGTGACAGCGCGTCCTGCAGGCGATCCAGCTCTGCCAAGTCTGTGGGTGTCGTCGGAAAAGCAGATCAGACATCAGCGAAAACAGGCCGACTGCCTTTTTTCCTGTCAGCGATCGGCTCATTATGCGAAAAAATAGAGGAGTTTTTTAGGAACATTACTCATTTGTTTCCAAATACTTTTCGATAAACTTTTAAAAAACGATGATCGCATCCTCTGTTAAAGTCCAGGATGACTCAGTTACATTATCTCAGACCAGGGAGATTAAATAACAGCAGTGACCGGCGTTGCTGTCATCAAGAGTTTTGGCTTCGCTCAGAACAAAAATGGGAGCACTTCCACGGAGGGAAAGTTAACTTCTTTTTTTTCTCTGTTCCTCAGCTTGCAAAGTGTGATATTACGATGACTAACTGTGACGACCAAATGGTGGTGGGCGGTGGGGGATAATTCAAGCTTAATCTGGTATCTAGGAAAACAATCACACATATTTAACCGGTTAACGTTTAAAAGGAGCAACAATATTTTGACTGAAATCGTATTACTACCCCTCGCTGGTAAAATTAACACGTTAATACCGCATGCTGCTCAGAACGTCTCATCTCAGAAGGGCTCCGAAATGTTTGTTTGTGTGGAATCTGTGTTTTTTCTTATGCTGTGTGTGTGTGTGCGGCGTTACCCTGCTGTGACGGGGAGGTGGGGACAGCTGGCTGGCTGAAGCTGTTCTCCTCAGCCTGAGAGAGCTCAGGAGGAGACTGGGGAGGGTCCTGCCCTGGAGTCAACTGGAGAGAGAGGAGGGAGACGACATGACGCTTCCCTCGGGCTGACATTTCTGTCTAACTTGAAGCATGAGCCACAGAGTTGACACGTGTGCACGTAAAACACGCAGAATAAACCTTGAACAGAAATAATGCACTCTGAGCCATAGATATGTGTAATAAAGGTGAGATGTCTTAAGGCGGAGTCTCTAACGTCATCGCCGTCATCTTGATACGGGGAAGCTCTCTGGTGGAACCTGTGGTATGTGGAGGAAGGTGACTGATCCGCACAAACGTAAATCTCGCTGAAATCTTGAGGGATTTACAAACGGTTTGGTTTCTTATAAACGTCATTAACGTGACTACTATTCAAATTACAAAAATACAAAATAATTAAAATACTAATTGTTGCTGGCCGTGAGAGTGTAACATAATTATCCATCAGTGCAGTGTTATAGCTACACCTCTGACGTTTATAACGAACCAAACCGTTTGAAAATCGGTAGAGAATTGAGCAAGTTATGGTTGTTTAAAAAGTACATGCGCCACTACAACACAATGTTATGGGCGAGCCAGCGCACTGTACCAAGATGGCCGCCAGTGCAGCCGTGCAATTCCATTGACTGACAGCACGGACGAGACATCAAGCCTTTATTATACATATCTATGCTCTGAGCATCCTACAGAGTCACAGAATGGTTTCTTTTAAATTGCTAGGGGGTTCAAAAGATTTCAGTTTATAAAAAAATGCCATAATTGCACCATTTATCAGAGCTGGAACTTAAAACAACAGAACATATTAACTTTCTAACAGTTCTTGAACTAATCATCTGTGATGTCAGGAATCTGAGCCTGAGATTATTATATTTTAATAAAATCACTTTATTCTATACGTCTCATTTATAAATAAACAAAAAACACACTGCTTGCTTTAATCAGAATTGAAAACCTTCTGCACTCAGCCGCGACCAACATCGTCATCCGACAACAAACCTGAGACTTTTCAGCTGAACTGCAGGCTGTGTTTTCACAGAGACGCATAAAAGAAATTCAGTGTAAATACTAAAATACAGTACATATATATAACTACATATTTATGCTAAAGTGCTGGTGACACCTGTAGGCACTTCAAAAATGTTGCACACGCTAACTGAAGTTTTTTTTTCTATGTTTGTAATTAGATAATCACAGAAATTAACTTTTTGTGGCAATAAAACTGTCATACTACACAACAGACGTTTTTTTTAAATTCTCTCTACGTCTAGACATGGTTGTGCTGTTCCCACTGAGGTACAAGACTTTACACTGCAGAGAGAAATTAGTAAAAATGTGACCCAAAATGTGACTTAGACGTAAAGATCGGCGCCGCGCTCATGTAGGAATGACGCTAACAGATGGTTAGCTCAGCGTAGCACCAACGCTGGAAACGGGGGGGGGGGGGGCAGAAAGCCTGGCTCTGACCTAGCAGCACCTCTATAGCTCTGCAATTAACACGTTAGATTTATGCTGCTGCTGGTCGGCTGCCATGTTGACAAGGAGCCTCGAGGAGGATGCAGCACCTGGCCAAGAAACAGTCTAACACATTTTTGTGCAGGTTGGGCAAACAAGGTTTAGAGGTGCCGGGAAATTAATTTTATTACCTCTGAGGGGAACCTGATGAACTATTCCCAGCTTTATTAGTGTATATGTGAAGCTAAGCTAACCCGCTGTACTGACATCTAACTCTAGAAGATGGCGTTCACCCAAATGTACAACTACTCCTTCAGAAACGTCTTTCGTGTCTAATCAACCTTTTAAAAGAGCAGCAGGCTTTCATATCATTGCTGTCAGCAGTGTTATTGGCATCTGTTGTAATTAACAGACGTTCAGCTTAATCTAACCTGCAGACACGAAGCTGCAGAATGTACAGACTGGCCAGCGTCTAGACGGGAGCTGCTCTCGGGACAAGTGATGAAAAGAAATCCTTAAATGTATTCAACATTTTGAAAAAATTAAAACCATTAGTATAAATAATTAACCTCTGAAGCAGTTTCTGAGTGTTTTCTGTCACATTTTTACCAACTGTGGGTTCATTTTTCCTGTCCTGCACCTCTGTGGAACCAGAACAACCACGCTTAGAAGTAGAGAAACTCAAAAATATCTTCTGTGCAGTGTGACACATTCATAATGCCATTAATTTAAAAAAATATTTTTTTCATCACTCATTTTACAAAAATTGGAAAACTGTAATCAACATGTTCAACAGTTTTCCAAATGCCCACAGTTATCACCAATACTGGAATAAAATGATATACTAACGTTACCTTACTTCTTAGATACAGTCGTGACTCGATAATCCGACACTAAATGTAAAACCTTCTTTTATGTCGGATAGCAAGGCTGTCGGATTGTCAAGACGGAGGTCCATATACAAGGAGGGCTTGATGCTGGAAGGCTCATTAGTTGTTAATATTTATTGTTTATAGTTGTTATAATAACTAGTGTGTTGCTAGAACACTACGCATTGCTGGATTTCAGCCTAACTGACTGGTTTGATTGTGTATGGGCCGTCGGTTGACATCAAAGGTAAATATGTTCAGACAGCAGGCTGAAGTGACCCAAATCCGATTTTTTTCCTCCTGTGCGACCTGTATCTGGTCTTTTCACGACAGTCTGAACAACACAGATCCAATTATTGAAGGTGGAAGTGCTCCACCGTTACCATCCATGTTTACTTCCATAAACACTGAGCACGCTCGCTGCGTGTGACGTCGTCGTGTCCTCTTCTGCGCATGCGGGACACTTTTGGGTCGTATGAAGTTCACACAGCAGATCACATACAAGTCGCATTGAACTGGAAACGTGAAGGAAGTCACAAAGAAATCCTCATTGAGCATCAAGTCCTGCAGTGTGAACGTAGCCAATCTGTGGGATTGTTCAGTCAGATAATACGCCGTCATCCTGATTGGTGACATTAAATGTCATGTCGGAGTCAGAATCCAAGACTGTTGGTTTGTTAAGGATGTTTTTAATGGGTAATGGTTGTTTTTCCTAAAAACCTGTCGGATAGCAAGGTTTAGGATTGTGAAGGGTCAGATTATCGAGTCACGACTGTATTTATTTAGCTTTCATATGTGTGAAAACACAGCCTGCAGTTCATCCCAGTTCAGCCAGACAGTGGTAGAATTTCTGTCAGGTGACTGTTTTTTTGCTGCTAAGTAACTAATAACTAATATTAACAATAATTTTTACTTTTTTTTTTTTTTACTGATTCCAGTTAGAACAAGCAGTTTGTTTCTAATTTCAAATTTAGACATGTAGAATAAAGTGCTTTTGTTGAAGTATCATGATTTTAAACTTTCCCGACCAAACAGCTCGTCAAAAATGAGGCAAGTTCCAAATGCCTCTTCCTGTTTCTACACTTTCAGGCTATGATAAATGGTAATTTTGGCAGTTTCTAGGGGATGAGAGGCTTAAAAGAAGAACCTAACAACAATTTTAAGAAAGAACTAAATCCTCCCAAACAGTCATCTTATTGCTGAAATGCAGATTCTACACGTGCAGCTCTAGATTTCATTTTCAAGTCAGAATAAAACCCTAACGGCAGCGATATCTTTACTGGGCTTAATGTGCAGCGCCACGGCGAGACTCGGTGACTCGTTACCTTCCTCCTGCGTTGTGCCGTGTTGGAGATCTTGTCGGGTGTGACTCCCAGGTCAGACAGGACCTTGGCGATTCCTCGGGCGTCCACGCCACAGTTAGGAGCTACATTGGTCTCACACCGCCTGTGCACATTCATCTTACACACTGCAAACAAATAAGAGTGAACGGAAAAGATCAGGTTAACTCAAACTATGGGAAGAAACATCAAACTGGTGTTGGTGGGCCACAGCTGTGACCAGCAGGAGGTGAGTTTAAAACCTCCACCTGCTCACTGATGGGGGCTTTATGTCAGAAGTTAGTCTGCAATTATATGAAGGATTAAAATTGCCTTCCAGCTACACAGGCAAGGTTTGGTGTTTCAGCGTCTTTCATGAGTAAAACCTCAAAAACACAAATTGCACATATCAAAGTACATCATCTGGAAATTGCACCACAGGTATTTATTATTTATTCATCTGTTAAACTGTGCTCAGTCTGGAAAACGTCCGTAAATGTCCACCTTTTTCGTTAATCAACCTCGACTTAACGACGAGCAGCTGATTTGCCACCTAACAATGTGAATAACTGACTATTTTTTTCAACTCTGCGTTATTTAAACATTAAGATAATCACAGAAGGTATTGTAAGCAAACTGACAAACACTGAAAGCGTTCAGGTGCAAGAGTTTGTTGTGTGTTTCAAGAGAAAAAAGAAAAAAGGTCCCAAATAAACTATTTTAGAAAGAAATATTTTACTAAATATCTAAAATATGTGCGAAAATTTATTGTAAAATAACCGTAATGAAAATGTTGTTACTCGTGCCGTTGTGCATTAAAACACTTCATAAATAACCTTTAATGTGAGTTTTGTACATGTTGTCGTGTTGTTTTCTCGCGCCGTGGTGCACGAGCTCACCTTTGCACTGCAGGCCCTGCCTCATGAGGCCCCACAGCAGGGAGCCGCAGTGGTCGCAGAAGGTGGGCACCTTGTAGTTGTGGATGCTGAACTTGTGGGGCATATTAACACTGAACCGCTGTGATCCCACCTACAGAGGGAGACACACACACACGCACAAGGTGTTGCAAAGAGGTCAGCGTGGCATTATCGCAGGAATAATGCATGTGGCTCAAGTGTTAGTACACAAGCAGCGCAGATTTATTCACCGACGGTCTGAACGGTGAATCCGTCTGCGTGCACTTGTTGCTACGTGATTTGGACATGTGAGTCCCTAAACACTGCAGGAAAGTCTTGTCATTTCTTGCACTCCTCTTTGTGTAATTGCATGTTTGCGGGTGTGTGTACCTCCTCAGGTGTGTCCTCCTGCTTCTTCATCCCAGCGCACTTGGTGATGATGAGCTCGTGGCAGCGCTTGTGGACGACACACGTGCAAACTGAAAAGCACAGCGTCGACATCGGAAGCACAAATAAATTGGACCGTAGCATTTTAATGGCAGATAGTTAACGTTGATGTCAGAGTATCCTCAACAGCTGACGGCTATGATACTGTTGAACCCGGTTCTGGTTTGGTATTCGCTGACCTTATTGAAGGCTCCAACATCAGCCAGATGTGCATCTCAATATACAAGTATAATTACAATCTAGAAAAGCCCGATAAGAATGTGGGTATTTCAATATTTCCAGTGTGTAGCTGCAGCCGTATAAACATGAAAGATGAAAATCGTGCAACATGTGTTTGGAGGTTAAACTGATTAATGCAGAGTTGATGTAAATGCTTGTCTGGAGAGGAAAAGTGCAGCATACACATGATCCCTGACCTTCAGTCGCTATCTAGTGACACTGTTAAATGTGAGTTGGTTGGGTTTAGCTGAAGTATTTATGTTTTTTATATATATTATTCTCCGAGGCAGTGCAGCCACAGTAATATTGGACAATTCTGCAAACTTTCAATTTGCTAAAATCCACTATTTCTTTTTTTTTTTTACGGTATCCAGCAGCCACGGTGTGATTAACGTAACACCGTGTCTGCACAGACTGCGTGGTTAAAAACAGCACATCAGCAGAAATAAACAAGCAGCTTCGGCGGCGCTCCGTCTCCGTCTACACACGATGCGTTCAGGTGCACTGCTGCGGAGAAGGTCACCCGAGTTTTGGCACCGAAAAAATAGACTCGAAGTGTAAAAATATGCTTGGGTTTGGAGTTTTCCAGAGAAAACACGAGGGAAATGTGAGCCGCTACGCAGCCTGCAGACAGCTGCATTAATTAAAACAGGCGCAGCTGAAGCACCTGCTGTGCTGAAAAGCCTCGGGGCAACTAAAAGCACTCGGTTGGTTAAGGTTATCGCAAAATCTTCGTCGTGGTTAAATATTTAAACCAGGAGAGAATATCTGTTAGCAGACTGAACGAAGCCTTGCATATAGAGAGCTGTGCTGCTGGCTGCGTGTTGTTTAAGCTACTGGTGAGAGCAATGAAATACGATCCAGGAAGTGCAGTTGGAGTAACAGATAAATGCACTTAAAGGCATATCAAAGGCCTAATTACTTCTGCAAAGGGGTTTATAATGCTCAGAGACAAATATGACGATTACACAGATACACCGCAGCACACCGTCACCTTTTCCAGTGCTACGTAAACAGCACAATTTCCTGAACATTTCCACTAAAAGGGCGTCGTTTTACCGCAGAATTGTCCAACGTGATAGTAAATCCTGATGAGTGAGGTTGAGAAGCAACATGTCAACAAGTCAGTTTAGTAATAATTTGACTTTCAGGTGAATTTTTAGGATGTTTTGCACTGATCAAAAAACTAAACTGGGAATAGATTTGCAGTAAAATGAAAATCTTGGTGTTTAATACAGAAAAACACAAACTCCAACACAAAACGTCTTTATGTTTTGCACATTTGTGATTAAAAGAGAACTTTTTTATCCTTTGGTGTTGATTGGCTGTAGCTTGTGTCAAGAAACCAATCAGGTAGAGCTGCAGGAGGGACGTCGTTTGAGACTATGAATTAGAGGAAGGCGACTCCAAAGTATTTTAAAATGAATTTATTTATGGAAATCAGCGAAATGGTGAATGTTGCATCAGGGAATCGGCCAGGCCAATGATCAGTCTACTCCTAGTCTGCATCCACAGATGATAAAACACTCCCATGTTTACGATATTATCTGTTCTCTATCGATGCCGTACAGTAAATACGTGGCACCGGGCGACGACTTGTGACCAAATCACAGCCGTCTCTCACTAAAACCCTCTTGTGTTCTCATGCCTGAATAATAAATGATGTTCAATGTTACTTGAGAAACTGGAATGGGCCGGAGAAAGGTACTCACCCTGACACTGGTATCCCTGCTTCCCCAGCACACCCCTATCGGATCACACAGACACCAGTCAGCCAGGCGGCTTTCATTGAAACACGACAGCAGGTGAAGTTGGACAGATGTGCTTGTGCGTTTGCCTACCAGATAAAATCTCTGCAATGTGAGCAGTAGGTCGGCTGTCTCAGGTAGGTGGCCATGAACTTGTGTCCGTTGACTTGGTGGACGCGTCTCCTGACGGCGCCTTGCCGCCGGCGAGGGCCGATCCTCTCGCGAAACACCCGCTCCTCATTGTCGTTGGTTCCCGAAGCTGTCGGGTGAGGAGAAGACAGGTTTATGGACGGGACGGGAAAACGAACGTGGACGTGTTGGTGTGTTTCTGAGCTAACTGATCGATTTTATCCCCTGACACGGTTCGTACAAACACGGCTCATTTGCATCATGTTGCTGAGGATGTTTAATCATTCAGCGGCCTCTCATCTTCCTTTATCTCCCCCTCCTCCCCTCCCCTACTCCCTCCCTCCCTCCCGCCCGCCTCCCTCTTCCTCACAAACACCCCACACCTACCACAGGCCCATGCATACGTACATGCTATTTATACTTCCGTGTGTGGGCACTAAAAACGAAGGACAGCATATTAAAATACTCCTCCTCAGCATCCAACCAGTCGCTCACTTCCTCTCTCCATCTCGGCAGAAAGATAAATGCTTTCCGAGGGTAACCTTAAGACAAGAGAACCACCTCCACTCTCACTCCCACACACACTCCTTCCCTCTCTCAGCGCTCCTGTCCTAGTTTGCCTTTCTTTCACTCTCCCTGCATCCCTCTCCGGGGCGCGTTGTAGATGTGGTTACTGCTGAGTCTCTCTAGAGTTCGATTACAGACAGGCTGTCTAGGGACTCAGTGTGTGTGTGTGTGTGTGTGGAGGTGTGTGTCTTTGTGTAGCTGCGTGTGTGTGTGTGCACATGTGTGTGTGTGGGGGGGAGGGAGGGCAGCTAAACAGGCCATTACTGGGATCACTTTGTTTTACATAATACATCATCCATCTGTCTAGGACGCACACACACACACACACACACACGCAAACACACATGGGGTGATGAGGCATAACAACAGTCGAGAGTCATCGTCGTGGAGACAGACGCACTCTGGACCCGCTGGACGAGCGACACACGCTCAGACGGACGAGAAGAAGATTCAGGTTTGACACTAGGGTGTAGAAGACGGAGCAGGTTCAGCTACAGGACAGAATGAAAATGAAGACAACTTGCAAACGTTGCAAATCAATCTGCACGGCGCAAAAAATTACAATTAAAAGCAAAACTGTTTTCCAAGGAAGATGAGATTGTCCCTCAATTGTTGGACACGTTTTCATCCATCCATCCATCATCTATACACCTTAATCCTCACTAGGGTCGAGGGGGGCTGGAGTCTATCCCAGCTGACTCAGGGTGAAGGCAGGTTCACCTGGACAGGTAACCAGTCTATCACAGAACCACAATGAAAAACACACAACCAAGCACACTCACATTCACACCTACGGACAATTTACAATCACCAATTAACCTCAACATGTTTCTGGACTGTGGGAGGAAGCCGGAGAACCCGGAGAGAACCCACGCTGCACGGGGAGAACATGGAGACTCCACGCAGTAAGATCCTGGGTGTCCTCACCGGGACATGAACCAGCTGTGAGGCAATGATGCTAACCACCGACAAGTTTTTATGTTTTCCCCTAATTTTTGTGGAACCATGAGGACGCACTTCCTACATTTATTCCCCCCTGAACATATCACAACACTTTTATTAAAGAAGGTGATTTTTCTGTGTTTTTACTACGAGCTATGGCACAGACAGGCCACCTCAGATCAACAATCTTTCTACCAACATTAGTGTTGGACAAATACACGCTGTGGCAAACACAAAACGAACGATAAGAACAATACAGGCGGGTTTAATGATACGTTATCGCAAAACTCCAGTAAGTTGAAGGACTTAAGAGGAAACAAGGTTGTAGCTGAAGTTGAAGCACTCCAAGAAGCTGAATTGACAGTTTAAGCAGCTCCTCAAATACTGAATTAGACTGAAGAAAGCATCCTTCTGGAACATTTCAAAGTTTTTTAGAATTCAGAGTTCTTGGAAACAGCATCACTAGTTGAGGCTGAAGACCACAAAATGAAGCTGCAGGTGAAGTTATGACAGTACAACAAGCAGATGAAGGAGTTTGAGATACACGTGTGCAATACTGAGTAAGAATAAAACTAGAGAAGCGAGGGCCAAACGTCTGTCTGCCTTAAAATAATCACCCTTAAAGGCACTCATAATTCTAAGTTGAAGCTCCCAAAGGAAGTGAAGCTGTAGTTAATTAAGGCTGAAGCACTGAAAGAAGCTGGAGTGGTTCAACACTTTACAGCAGACTGTGTCGGTAAAGAAACTGGGCCTCAACATTTACACCGTGTATAGATTCAGATTCTTCTGAGTGTTTAACACGGCAGCAACAAGTGAGGAGGAATCACTGAAAGGAGCTGAAGTGGCATCTGAAGCGTTGTTCAACAGACTGAAAGCGTTTCATTTTTAAAGGAAATCTAAGGTTGCAGACTGAAGGTGGGACACAAATTACAGATTATTTGTTCCTTTTTTAGTTTAAACACTAAAATAAGTTTCAGCGGCTCCTTAAACGCTGTGGAAATGAATCTATTAATTTATTTGTTCTTGACTGTTTAATTAATCGTCCTCTAATTTGAAAACTGATTAAGTTTTTTTTTTTTTAATTGAGTTTCCTAAACTTGCTTATTCTTAGTTTTTTTCATCCTTTATGACTTTAAACTGAACTTCTTTAGGTTGTAGACGAAACAACACACTTGAGGATGTCGCTGATTGACATTTTTCACTATTTTCTGACATTTTTTAGACCAAACAATTAATCAATTAATCAATTAAAGTATCAATAGATTAATCAACAATGGAAATAACTGCTAGTTACAGCTTTGTTGTCGTCACAAGTGATCAAAGCTTTATTGAGTTTACTAGAATTTTTAGTTTTAAGTCCTTAAAACACATTTTTATTGGAGAGCTTTCCCTGATTTTATTTATGTTTTATCGCTTCTTTCTCTGTTTTGTGTGCTTTCTATTTGTCTGTGCCTATTTTATTTCAATTTTACATTTATTTTATTGAAAAGCACTTTGTAACGTGTGTTTTGAAAAGCGCTCCATAAATAAAGTTTATTATTATTATGTAGATATTTAACACAGAAATTCTAAAAGACAAAATAAGAATCAAACTCCTGAAAACATTCTTCTGGATAATTTGATTTTAACATTAATTGAATTGATTGTAAAGCTTCTTTTTCACAGAAAACTCGTCTGAACACTGATTAACATCTTTGCCAACATTTCTACTTCAGCTCATTCACTAAGACACCATAATATCAATAACAACCTTTTATCTCTTGGTTATTAAACTCCTTTTTGCTCTTACATGAATGTACGATAAAACACTGCACCAGTGTTTGCTAAATGAATAAAAAACATTCTGGCAATAAAGAACGAGTTCAGACATAAAACTCATCCGTCAGACTGTTGTCTCCGAGACGACATGTCTTCTTGTAGACAACAGAATTACACCGACAGAAATCCAAAATAAAATTAAGATGCTATTTATAAACCCGAGGCGGAGAGGCCCCGAGTCTGGCCGAGGAAGGAGGAGGAGGAGGAGGAGGAGGCAAACTCGACGTATATTATCTGTCTTCTGATCTTAATTTTCAGTTTTGTTTCATTTCTGAGCAGAATTGTCTGTTTTGAATTTAGATAAATGCGACTGAACGAAGCTGGTGTGCAGTTATCATCAAGGTTATCTGCTTCAATTAACACAACATAAGTAAAACTGGACGAAGACGGGAAGTGAATCCGGAGGGAGAGACCGCAGATGGTGAGATTAGGTCAGATTATAGTTATTATAAAAGAAACAGGAGGATGGAGAGGAGTGAGAAGAGAAAAGAAAAAGAAGAAGAAGAAGAGGAGGAGGAACACGTCCTTCCAGCCTCCGAAGCTGCAGCAGAGAACAGATTGCACCAGGGGAGAAAAATAAAAAATAAACCTGCTAAAAATACCACCTCTTCCTCTAGTTCTCACCCTCCATCATCTCTCCATCCTTTTTTTTTTTTTACTCTTCTCCATCCCTGCTATCAGCGCACACACACACACACACACACCATTTGTTTTTATCAGCATACATTAACATGACGAGCTCTCGAGCCAGCTGAACTCGGGGAGGAAGTTCAGCGGTGGGCGGAGAGCGGGTCGTGAGGTCACAGCCGAGCGTCCAATCATCGTCGAGGAGGGCAAGACATGGACGCCCGAGTCTGTGTGTGTGTGTGTGTGTGTGTGTGTGTGTGTGTGTGTGTGTAATCCGTGGCTCAATCTCACCTACTATTTTAAGAACCTACTCTCTTCACTCTCTACCGCTCTCTTCATCCGTCTTTACAAAGAGATGTACAGTGTGTTTTAAAGCCGGGCTGCTCTGCCGGCTATCCCACCACCCTCACACACACACACACACACACACACACCTCCACACACACACACATATATATACATGCACACTTTTTACCGGAAGGCAGAGAGCTGCTTCTATTTATAACCAGGTGTGAAGATATACAGGTGCAGGTGGAACTGTCTCTTATCAGGCAGCATGTGAGCGACTGTGTGGAGAGGTTTAGCCGGCAGAGATTTTCTGGATGTTCAAACAATACAAACAAACACAGGGGGGATGGAAAAAGAAAAACAAGAGAGAGCGGCTTTCTAGGAAAACAGGAAGGCTTCAAGGCTCCGTGTCTTTCCATCACCCTCCTGCGGCCTCCAGTTTCAATGTCAGGGATGCACACAGATTATGTTAAAGCTGATGTTGCAGACGCTTGGAGGCGGCGGAAACGAGCCGCAACGCTCAGACATCGTTCATCGCCTTGTAGTACGCAGCTACGCAGCAAGATGATATTTGGAGTTGTGTGTCTGTACATGCGTATTCTGCTAAAATCTCCACCAGCTAGCCTCTAACTGCCTCTGTCTGTCCGCTGTTTGGTGCTTTGCAGTGATTTTCACACAAAATAGCTTCCTGACGCAGCCAGAAATGAGGATGTAGGACAAGTAAGAGTGAATCAAAACAGTAAAACTGATGATTAAATAAATGAATATCTGTGTTTTTAATATTAAATTACATTAAAGTCCTCAACACTTAAAAACTGAGCTGTGTATCAACATTACATATTTAGAAGTTTTGTCAATGACAATGATAATCAATTCTAAAACGGCTTAAATGTCTCTATATGCTGGAGCTCGAGCACACCAGCTCACCTACGACTCTGGTCAAACACTGTAAATCTACTCTGTGCTACACAACTGTAATATTGGAGTGATTCAGCCGAAGGAAACTGATTCTGACGAAGAAGAAAGTCTCACTTTGTCAGGATTGGTTCCTGAGGTGTGTGACATCACAAACCCTGGACGTCTGAATCTGTGTTTTTGAGATGATCATTAGTGCACCACAGTTTTAGGGTAGAAATGATGCTTATTCTGCTCAAGATATGTTTTCTAGCATTTAAAAACCAATATATGGACATGTTAAGTAAAAACACAACCTTTTCACTTCAGGGAGTCTTTAATTTTTTATGATTCACCTCTTATTGATCGCCTTTTTAATTCATTTATTGGAAGCATGAAGCAGGTGGAATTTAGTATTGCTGAATATGCTATATTATTTAACAAGTGTTGTCGCTCTCAGGACAGAAAAATATAACAAGCAATGACAAAATTCTCATTTAGGCTAGTTTTTTGCCATGTAACTGCTAAAAAGTTGCACTAATCAATATATTTATACTCCCAAAGTGGTTCATAGGGATTAAAAACAACAGATCAGCGATAAGACAACAACAAAGCAACAATGAATTTGAACATGTGGATGATTTTAGCTCATCTAATCACTGCTAATAGCTCACTGCTGTGTTTGGGGGCCCAGACTGTGAAAGTGCGAGAGCTCTTCGACACTAATCAGGCTCCAGGAACGACCGGAGGGCCTCAATCAGCTGATCGAAGATGGCAGCCGGGTTCATGTGGGGTAAACAGATTCTTAATATAGCTGGGGGCTCGGTCGTGTAAGTCAGCCGTAAAATTAAAAAATGAACAGGGAGCCAACGCGAGGAGCCAGAAATGGAGCTATATGGTCTCATTTCCTTGAGTCTAGATGATCCTGAAAGCAGCATTTTGAACTGATTGAAGGCATCGACGTCTAAATAGGAAAAATAAATAAAATAAAAGGGGCAAAGAACAACCCCGTGCAGAATGATTACATCACCTGCTCAGAACTCCAGAGCAGACATCTAACTGTTGAACATGTGGAGCGTTTGGCATCTAAACAGCTGGATATTTCTGTCAGGATTTTAAAAACTGAGCAAAAAGAGGATGCTAATGTTGCAGCTGGGGGGGGAATGTTTGCTTAAGGGTCCCTCATGTTAATTTTATAAGCTGATAAATACCCCAAATCAATCAATTAAAAGGGCCCCAAAGAAACACACAAGCATCTCCTTCCAGGTGATGTGGGAAAATATGATTTACTGTATTTTTCTGCAGAAACTTTTGAGATCATGGATGATATACTAAATTGTGAGCGCTAACAGAGGGATTCTTATTTCTAATTAGCTTCTAGGCTAACTGCCGCTGGCTTTGCACATTGCTGCAGTCGTGTCCACCAGCCGTGTCTCCGTGCATGTGTGCATTGCGGCGCTCATACCCTCAGTGGAGGATCCGGACAGATCGATGACCACGTACACCTTCCCCTCCGGCTCCAAGTCAATCTGTTGCAGACAAAGAAAGAGAGAGAGAGAGAGCAAACCAGTGAGAAACAACACAGCTGAACAGTGAGTGCAGCAGGAGGGGAGCCATCCTCCAGGACAAACAAACACACCAGTGCACCGGCAAGAGGTCGTTATCTCCACTAGAATTACAATCCTCCCCAACACTCGTATCATTACCGCTATTTAACATCGCCACCTTTATCATTAGCGTCCTGACATCATTACAGGCCCCGTTTACTCCGGCTGGGAATCTGCATCTGATGTGGTATCAGGAGGAAAGATTTCCAGTCTTTGTATTTACGTGCATCTGACCAGACGGAAATCTGATAGCAATCTGATTTAATGTGGTTTTTGATTCTGGTAAGATACAGGGATGCTCATTTCATCTTATTAAATGGGGTTATACGTGCCAGTATAATACGCAACACCAGTGCCATTGCCAGTATCACTAACTTTCTCATCTTTAGAGCTGATTAGAGAATGATTAGCTAATTTATCAATTAGCTAATTGACCAAAAAACGCACCTGCTTTGGCAATAAATCAGCAGTTTTAGGCAAAAACGCAGACACCACCAGCCTAACAGGATCACAGTAAAGGGAGTAAGTTTGAGTATCAGAAGTACAAACACGTGGCTAGATGAAGTCAAACCCACAAATAAACTTGAAGATGTTTATTCTTTGATGAAAGTTATAATTCTTGCTAAATCAACTGGAAAAGCTACTGTCCATCACTCACACAAGACAGTCCATTCTAGTGTCTAGTATGCATTAATTGGGTTGGAGGAGGGGAATGTTAATTGTTAATTGGAAGGATTTATGTGATCGCACTTTGGGGGTTTTGGACTGCTTGTGTAAGTTTCAGGTAAATGTGTTGCTGTGATTTTATAGGAGACAAGATTAATCTGAAAATACATCGTCAGCCATCGCCAACACAAACACACCGTCATCGATGTCAGCATCAGTGTAATCATCATTACTATTTCCACCGTCATCCTCGTCGCCTTCACGTCCAGCCATCCCGAAGCTACAACAGCTTGATTACAGCCGATATTTGCTTTGTGGTACGTTGACAGTTTCAACATAACTGAACAGAATCATATTTAGTTTAAATGCACCTGTTGCTGCACTCAGTTCAATTTTTAATTCACTTCTATGTTTCCTAAGATGCAAAAAACCCACATTAAGGTGAAATAAACACAGTTTGAAGTGAAATATAAAAGCTAATCGCACTCAAAACCAGCAAAGCTCCACATCCAGCAGCATTTGGGAGACATACATTATATTTAATAAACGTAAATTGGGGCACAAATTACTAACCTGTACTATGAAATACAAGTTATTGTGGAAAAAGGAAATGTGCCGCACATGCACGGTAGGCTGTGTAACGAACATTTAGATGACAGAAAAAATCTTACGCTCTTATCCAACCACATTTTGAACATCACAATGCATACTGTTGCTGCTTTTTGTACCTTGATTTAAGCAGAAAATAATAATATTAATAATTTTTAAAAAAAAGCTTTAAAAAAAAATGGCTTCCTCCCAACCACCTACTGAGACTGTAAAAAAGTCTGGACAGGAATCTGAGGATCTCAGATGCAACAATTAGTCATTAAGTTCATCATCAGAAATTCAATTTATCATTTTTCAAGAGAAAAAAAGCCAAACATGTGACTTCTTCCATTTCAAGAAATGTGGGAAATGTCTGCCCTTCCTTGACTTGCATTACAGTAAACTGGTTATTTTTACATTTTATGGCATTACCTTGATTTCTAGCAAAAAAGGAAACAGTGCTGGCAGGCATTGTACACTGTTCTCTGGCGTTTAGATCAAGCAATTAAAGGATTAATCAAGAAAACAAGCAGCAGGTTAATCAATAATTCATCGCGCTGGCCCATTTCGAGCTCTGGCGCACAGTGAGAGGCTTGGTGAGATGGAAAAACTGGGCCTGTGGTCAAACTTGAATGTTAAATGAGGGAAATAAAGGGACAGAAAAATGGGAAAAGTTAAGTTAAAAGCAAAAATGTAAATATGATACGTCAATATAACTGATAACTGATAAGGCCTCGGTTTATTTTATGATTACAGATGAGCTGTTAGGTATTTATCTGCCTTTCTAGATTACGTTTTGCAATCATTTGCAAACAGGTGAGAGTCCCTTCCTTGTACACAACACACGAGATGCAGGAGATCATTTTCATACAGAGATTACTGAGGTGCAATATTAACTTTCTGCACAGCGTAATCGCACGCAATGTGGTATTAATATTACACACAGAGGCTGCAAAATACATGTAGGAATGTAAAAACATCAAGCTGCTGCCAGCAAAGCGCTCGAGTCCCTCCTCAATCAGCTCCTTGACTAAATGTTCTTGAGCTGTGAAGAGTTTGCGGCCAACGAATCAGCAGGCCCGCGCGTTGGACGAAGCAGCGTCGTAGATTCTCGTCCAGATCTCGTATTTTTAGATCGTCAATGAACCCAATCCTCTCTGCGTCGACAGACTGCGAAGTGGTGAGAATTAATATCGTTTGTGATTCTCGCAAGGACGCTAGCAGTTGTCAAAACAAAGTCTATCTGTTAATCTATTAATCTCGTAATTAAATTAACCAATCAAAACTACGATCACGTTAATCATGATGCTGTTTATTAGCAGAATTACAAGTTGTTGTACCATCGATTCGTGTGAGCTGATGTCGCCAAAATGGAGCCTTTGTTTTTTAAATGTTTAAATATTAATAGATAAGAAAATAGACAATCTGCACACAGGGAGACTTATCCAACGAATAATGACATCATCCACCTCCAATATACATGCAATTACGGAGATTAGAGAGAGTGCAACAGAGAGCGCTAGAGAGGCAGACGACACAGGAAGAGAGAGTGCAAGAGAGAGTGAGAAAGAGAGCTTTAAATCCTTAGTTAAGCTCTGGGACAGCAGCAGATCCTCTTATGCAACAGTCAGACTCGCACACAGGCGGCAGCGGCGGCGGCGGCGGCACATATTCGCTTCCATGCATTGCTGAACATGAGACACAAAGAACACAAACAAATACAAAACAAAGTCCAAACCCCCCCTCGACACCCACCCAATCCCTCCCCACTGTCCCCTGACAATCAGGCACACCGCATGAATCCCAAACAGCGAAGACACACGGAGAGGAAATGATGTCCACAGGAAAACCAATATAAACTATTCAGATTTCACATTCGCTTCCTGCTGTATTTTCATTCGTGTAATAAATAAAAGACATAGTTGTTCAACTGACTTTACTCTCAGCCGTATATTTTCTCGGTTTTACGTCTCTTCTCGAGCATTATGCAAGTTATCGTGTCATTAAAGTGAAGCTGAAACAATGAGTAATAAATAAGAAAAACAATCAAATAAATATCTTCAAATCTGCTGCTTCCCTTCGTCATGTTTCAACAAAAACTGAACAATCAGATGTGAAGGAATCTGCCTCTAAATGCATGTACGGTGCACCGGCATCCGCGCAGTATCATCCTTTTGTTGTGCCTATAACACACATGCATGGGATTTGCCACCAATAAACGCCATCGGATTCTTGATGTCTACCCTTGAAAACGACGTGCTAATCCCCAAATATAACCTCTTGCATAACGGCGCATCTCGGCGGGGATTTCAGCCGAAAGATGGACTCAGAGTGATTTGGAACAGAGTGGAGCAAATGGACAGCGCCATCATTGATTTAGCGCTCGGGGTCCCGAGGTGACACGCCAGTCCAAAAAAAAAAAAAAAAAAACTACGCTGTTTCCACATCGCCGGCTGCTGGCCACTTGAGCCATGAAGTGCCTTCAAGCTCATTGTACGTATCCAGATCGATTAGAATTACCAGCAGTCCGATATGGGTTTTATAAGAGGAGGAGGGGGATTAGGCCGCCGTTCTCCTGAATGTTGTTCTTGGCAGGATGGAAAATCTCTCCCACAGCATTTACACTGTAATTCAATAGCAAAACAATCCGCCGAAGCCATGACACAGTGTGTATTATTTCAGAAAGATTACATAGGCCCTGCATTGAAAACAGGTTTATTTATGTTTACTGGAGCTCTTAAGCACAACAGAACAATGCACACAAATCAGATTACAGTATCTTAAAGTTTGAATTAACCACAATCTGTGTCAGCCATTGAGACGTTTCTGCGGTTACTCTTTTACTACAGTGTAGCCACGTATCCTAGCAACAGGCGTTTCTATGGTTGCAGTGCTGCTTTTTCTTTTTTTTTTTTGGCGGGAGATAACAACAGAACGGATCAGGCTGAGTGTGTACGGCAAGTTTAACAAAAAAAATAAGACAATGCACACACAAATTGTTATTAAAGATGAAAACAATGACTAGTTTAATCCACGCAAGCACTGAACTGTGGGTATTTGTTGGGAAATTGTTCAAAAAAATGTGTATTTGTGATCTCTGTGAACCGAACCTGACACTGATGCTCTAAACCACAGATGTCGTGGCCACATTTACACTGAAACTGACACCTAAAGGATAATTCCGGTTTATTTCAGTGCAGCTTTTTTCCCATTAATGTAACCGCGGTGTCTCTATGCTAACTCAGGTAAACAATGAGTCACTTATTTGAATGACATAAATCGATGCGACAAGCCTCCTGCAGCTTTCCACAAAAAGCGATTTTACACTAATCATTTTAAACCCTTTGTTTCAAAAGCAAAAAACTGAAATTAGCTGCCAATTTTGCTCACCTCATTAACGGACAGGAGAGCAGCGAGATCAAACCTGGAGCAGATGAAGCTTAATTATTCTGGATTATTGTTTTTAAGAAGGGTGGAGTCAGTGAGTCACAAACTTTAAACAATAGACGTCTTTCACGTTCATGATGGTTTCGTTCCACTCAGGTGTCTCAGCGAGTCGTGCCAATGAGCCGGCGTTCACCTAATTACGGTTGCGTAACTCGCTCGCCTTTAGCCGCGCTAGCTTCAGGGTCTGAATTGCCGTCTTCATGTCACGCTGAAGCGGATCC